GGAAGAAGATGTAATAAGAGGTAATTCTCCCAAACCGGAAACTATTCATAGTCCACTACTTCAAGATTAAAAAATAATCAGTTAAAAGTTTTTACACATCCTATATAAAAGGGCTAATATGCAAATCGACCTAACGGCAGCACGACTGGTCACTACGATGCGCATCGCATTGACCGTTAGGTGGTCAGTGTGCTCCCACAGGGGAAGCACTGCTCAGCCAGATGGCGGGCCCACAGCTGGTGAGCACGGCGGCAGCGGTGGTGGGAGCCTCTTAGGCCTCTGAGGCAGGTGGCCATCCCCCCAAGGGCTCCTGGACTGCGAGAGGGTACAGGCCGGGCTGAGGGATCCCCGCCTTGTCCCCAGTGCATGAATATCATACACTGGGCCTCTAGTTCTTCTATAAACACACACATACATATGAGGCTTTAGCATCATGATCAACAGCTAAGAAATAAGTCTTTAAGCTACTCTAATGGTGAAAAGGGTGCCCAGACTGTGGAAATCTCTGTACCTTCCACTCTATTTGTTCTGAAACCGAAACCCCTCTGAATAAATAAAGCCTCCTGAAGGGAAAGGTGCCTAGAATTACACAAAATGTTTACAACCGCCAGAGTGCAGAAAGGTGTTCGAACTGTCCCCCCGTTACTTCCAAAAAGCAAATGTTAAAACAAAAGGAGGAAAAAGGGATTCATTCATTTATCCAATAAATATTTATCAAACTCCTACTCCATGAGTCAGGCATTGTTCCCAGTACAGTGGGAGACCTCGCCTCTGGAAAGTGCACACCACAATCAATGTCACCACAGTCAGCACACTGCTGAGGGCGCATTGTCTGCCTGGCGTTGTCCTAAAAGCTCAGGTTTAAAAAAAAAAAAAAAAAAAATCACATACAATCAACACAGGTGCTTTCTCTTTTTTTAATATATTTTATTGATATTGTATAGAGAGGAAGGGAGAGAGATAGAGAGTTAGAAACATCGATGAGAGAGTCATTGATCAGCTGCCTCTTGCACACCCCCCACTGGAGATATGCCCGCAACCAAGATACATGCCCTTGACCGGAATCGAACCCGGGGCCTTTTGGTCCCCAAGCCGACGCTCTATCCATTGAGCCAAACCGGTTTCGGCCACAGGTGCTTTCTTACTATGTTAACCAATAGTCTTTTTTAAAAAATACATTTTTATTGATTTCAGAGAGGAAGGGAATGGGAGAGAGAGAAACATCAATGATGAGAATCAATGATTGGCTGCCTTCTGCAAGCCTCTTAATGGGGACCACACCCGGGGCATGTGCCCTTGACCAGAACCGAACCCAGGACCCTTCAGTCCACAGGCTGATGCTCTATCCACTGAGCAAAACCAGCTAGGGCAGAACCAATATGTCTTATTCAGGTCTCTCTGTTCACTTTCTTACTCTTAGTATTTTGGGCTTCTCCATTTCTTATTTGCACCAAAATAAAGAAATTAAGATGGTAGAGGCCCTGGCCAGGTAGCTTAGTTGGTGAGTGCATTGTCCCAATACGCTAAGGTTGCAGGTTCAATCCCCGGTCAGGGCACATACAAAAATCAACCAATGAATGCATAAATAAGTGGGACAACAAACTGGTGTCTCTCTCTCTCTCTCTCTCTCTCTCATCAATAAATAAAAATGTTTTAAAAAGATGGTGGAAAGGGCAGTAGGAGACAAAAATAACTTCTGTCACCAAGTAATCTGCTAGCTGCAAAGAGTAGGATAATTATGAGGAAAGCTAAAATTTCCAACAGATTTATTCACACTTCACATTAATGGTTAAGCCAATAAAAGTTGAACTGACACTTCCATACTTGTCAATTCTTACGAACAAACAGGTGCAGGTAAGAAAAACAACAACATTAACATGTACAAGAAATTCTTGCTTTGCCATTTCTCCAACTACCAGTCACAATTCCATTAAATCAGTACAACCTATTTACCCTCCTGCCTTACTTTTTAAACAAAGTCTTGATAAATTCATTTGGTTCTTCTTACAAACAGATGTGAATCCCTCTTTTGACTCTGATGGTGTAGGCTAGAATGAAGACCTACTTTGCCCGTGCTCACTGAAATAAGTGGATAGCCCACAATGTATATAATGTGACTTAGCTTCAGGTAGCTAACTTGCACATAGTAGCTGTTCAATAAAAATCTTAACCTTTGATGAATAGGCAGTGTTATGAAGGGCTGCACAGAAACAATGCTGTTGTGACCTAATCCCTTTACAGCAGCCATTTACACTCTGACCTGATACAAAATAACCCCCTTTTAAATACAAACTAAGCTAATAAAGTTATTACAAATTATGGGTTTTGCATTCATTTCTATAGTTGGATGATAACTTCCTGACATCTCATGATTCTAGAAATTTCCTAGAATATGAAAGTTTACTCCTATACCAGAGAGAGAGAGAGAGAGAGAGAGAGAGAGAGAGAGAGAGAGCACGCAAAAAGGTCTTATTCCCTCTGCAAAGCAGGATGTGGCTAGAGTAAGCCTTTCATGTGAAGTGCAATCAGAACGCTGCCGTTCGTAAAAGCCTATATGGACTCGGGCTGACGTCCTAAAATGTGTGCAGACCTGATGGAATCTGTGAGGGTCTATGCAAGCTGCAGCCACCTGTCACAAGTAACTCGCGGCCACCCAAACCAAAGCTCCGTCTCTCTCCACCGAGAAGCATAACCCCGCCACACTGGGCTCAGGCGCCCCGTCATTATCTCATTACCATGGGCACCACCCCGAAGCCACCGTTCAGGGAAAACCCTCAATCACCGCCCTGGCCCAGACCACCGCACATCCCGGGTCTCTCACCACTGGACCACAGGGGCTTGCTGTTCGGAACCCTTCATTATTCCGTTTTAAAAAACCACTCACACACTAGTCAGATCAGGCCACTGGAAACAGACATGTGGTTGCCCTCGGACTTCTTGGCTCTTCCTCTTAACACTCAGAGCTTTGCATCCCTCTTATCAAGGTGCCAGTAAGTGAGCTCTCCCTTTTCCTCCATTAAGCTCTAGGCTGCTCCAGAGCGACGGCCAATGTTCTAGCGAAGGCCTTTTATTATAGCAACAAAACTCTCCGCTGGCGTATACGTGCATACAGACAACTGCTGACTGACCCATTCTTCTCCATAAACCCGAGTGAAAACATTTCTAGTAGCTGACACGCCTCCCTTAGACATCTTCTCTAGTCGGCTTCATTTGGGAAAATTCAAGTGTATGCAGTAGAAAACGCAGTGCCATGAGCCCCCCTGTCCCCCCGCCAGCTTCAACAAGGACCTGCTCATGCCTGCTTCCTGTCATCAGCGTGCCCATCCACTGCCACCGACTTCTTCTGAAGCAAACCCAAGACTTCATGTCGCTCGTATATATTCCAGTTCCCACTTACTGTCAACAGCTCCTTGTTTGTGCGTTCCCTCCCACCCCTTCCCCCAAAAAGAAGTATATAGAGTAATGGAGGCCACTGGGCCTCCTTCATCTCCCTTCTCAGCCACCTCCCTCTTCCGCATCACCTTCCAGAACATTCGCCAGCATCACTGCGAGCTGCCCACCAGTGCACATAAGTGCCCGCTGGCCACGGTTTCACTTAGAAATACATTGTAGTTTCTCCCAGAACCCCCTTCTCTTGTTTGAACAAGTAGAAAAAGAAAAGAAAAAAGAAAAATCATGCCAGTATTTCTATTCTCTTGATAAAAATTACTTCTGGTTTACTCCCCACCCCAGATAAGCTGGAAAGAGCCGAAGGGAGTGGAGCAGGCGTAGATGAGGAAAGAAATAAATGCTCAGGATTAGCTCTAAAGGGCAAAGCGAAGGCCATTATACTGTAAAAAAACAGTAGATTCCGCCCAGTTAGGTGTGTGCAGATATTTTAAACCATCTGTTATTTTATTTTAAAACTGAATACTTGTAAACATCAGCCAACATCTGGGGTTCCTTTCGACACAGGATGTTCATAAAATAAATCATCTTCATCTAAGGGTGCTCTTGCCCTCGGGATTTTGGTTAAAAACAGTCGCTGCTTCAGAGCCTCGGAAATGTTAAGTAAGGAAGATAATGAAGGGAGGGCGCTCCGAGGCTGGGGCTCTAACCTTGTGAGAGGTGAGATCCTTGCCCGCCCCCCCCCAGCTTCCACCCGCTCCCCTCCCACCCTCCCCAAAGGGGGGTCCGAAGGCGGCACTCCCCCCTCTCCATGGACACGTCTCATCTTGGAACATTTCAGTGAATGACTGGGATTTCTCCCTCCTCCCTCCGGACGCCACTGCCCTCCCTGGCCACTGATTCCCCCAGGAGCCCGGAGGGGGGCGGGCACCGAGGCCACCCCGCACCCTGGCACCGCCAGGCCGCCCTGGCCCGGGGCACAGGCTGCCGGCCCAGCCGCCGCACCCCCGGCCCAGGATGCGGGGGCCCCCTCCCCGCCCCCCTGAAGAACAAGCCCCGGAGTGCTCCCGGGGGGATCTCCCCGAACTCGGCCACTTCCCTCTCCGGCCAGAGGCGCAGCCCCAACCTCAATCCAGGGCCGGGTTCCCCGCAGGAACCACAGGTGCCCCGGGCCGCGGCGGGTCAAGAGGTCTCCCTCCGGGGGAGGGCGCCAGGCCTCGCCCGCGGCCCCGCAGGCCGCCCCGCCCTCGGGGGCCCGCACCTCCCGCGGAGAAAGCAGCCGGGACCGCGGGGCCGGGCGCCCCGGTACCTAACGCAGCCCCCCAACCGGGGCTCCCACGCCCCCAGCCAGGCGGGTCCGGGCGCGCCGGCCGCTCGCCGAGGACGAAGGCTCTGCCCCCCGCACCGCGGGCCTCCGGCCGCCGCGGGGACCCCCTCCCGCTCCCCCATCCACTCCCCCCGCCGACGCCCCGTCCTGCCCGGGCGGAGGCCCACGAGGGCGCCCGGCCCGCGCCTCCCTCAGGCCGCGGGGACCCCAGCCGGCGCCACCGCCCCCCCCCCCGCCGGCCCGCGTGCCCTGCCCGCGCCTCCCGCAGCGCGGCCGCCGCACTCACCCACAGCTCGGTGCCCCAGCTCATGGTGCAGGGCGCGGGAAGGGGCGCGCCGCGCGGCGGGCGCGGCTCTCCGTCCCCTCCCCGGCGATCCCTTCGCCCCTCGCGATCCCCGCGATCCCCGCGGTCGAAGGAAGCCGGGGCCCGCGCCGCCGCCGCCTGCTCCTCGCCTCGGGTCCCCGCGGCGGCTCCTCCTCCCGGTCGCTCCTCAGCAAAATGGCCCGAGGAAGCGGCGGCCCCGGCAGCCGCAGCGCCCGCCCGCCCCACACCCCGGAGTGAGGGGAGAGGGCGGGGCGGGGGCGGGGCCGGAGGGCGGGGCCGGGGCGGGGCCCGGGCCGCGCGCCAAGACCGGGGGCGGGGCCTCCTGACAGCTCGCGCACGCGCCGGGCCCACCTCCCCCCGGAGCCCGCCGCGGGGACCCGCCACCCCGGGAGGACGCGGGAGGAGGGTCCCCGCCGATTTGTAAGAATCACTCGTTAGCCACCGCGCTCCGCTCTGGGGCTGACCGCCGGCCTCCGGACAGAGCCGTCCCGTGACTGCCGGTGCCCAGCGAGGCCTGAGGCTGCCCCTCTGCACTGGACATGCTCCCCGCCCCCCGCAGCCATTCCCGCCAACCTGGGTCCCCGGGATGCGCCTCCCGCACCGCCCGGCGCCGCGGGGTCCCGGATCCTGGGGGCCCTGCGCGGGGGCGTGGGTCCGGCACAGCGATGCCTGTGCGCGGTCCAGAGAGGGGCATGGAGTCGGGAGCAACCACGGAGCTTCGAGTGGCCAGGGAGGTGACCCCGGGCGCGCAACCAGGGATGGCCAATCTGTGAAGCCAGTGGTTTCCAGCTTGTCCTGCCAAGAAACGCCGAGACGTGCAATCACGTTGCAGCTTAGAGGGTAAGAACAGGCGCGGGGGCCACAGATGAGGGTTTGGTCCCAGTCCGGCTCCCCGCACGTACTCGCCGGGCGGCCTGGGCCCGGGACTCCGCCTCTCCGGCCGCTCGGAGCCCCCGTCTGCCTGGCGGAGGTAACGCAGCCGTGAAGGCGAGGATCCAGGTGAGCACCTACTCCCAGGCCTGCGGTTGGTAAACTGAGAGCTCATTCGTAAGTATAATAGATACTGACTCCTTCTTCCTGTATGCCAAAGACCTACACAAATATTCTCCACAAGCTGCGGAGGATTACTGGAGTTCCAACCCTTTCCTCCCCATCGCTAGGCCCTCTCTCCTTCACTTAACACCATTGATTTTTCTGGGTAACTCTGCACTCCTAAAGTAGGTCCCCTTTTATTTTTATTTTTATTTTTAAAAACTTATTTTATTGATTTTTTACAGAGAGGAAGGAAGAAGGATAGAGAGCGACAAACACTGATGAAAGAGAAACACCAGTCAGCTGCCTCCTGCACACCTCCCACCGGGGATGTGCCCACAACCAACATGCCCTTGACAGGATTTGAACCTGGGACCTTTCAGTCCGCAGGCCTACGGTCTATCCATCGAGCCAAACCGGTCAGGGCTGGGTTCCCTTTTAGAAATATTTCCTGAGGCATGTTCCCCATACCTACTACCCCCCCCCTCCTCCCAACCTACAGTTTATCATTCATCATTCTCTGCCATGAAAGGGTGGAGCCCAAAACTTTGGTAGATAAACCTCCAGGTCTACTTCCTTGGTTGGACAGAGAATAAATTTAACCTGTCAAACTGTTTGGGTCTGTGTTTTGTAAGTTTCCTCCAGTCCCCTCGTTTTTTTTCACTGCGTGTGTTTAAATGTTTTGCTCTCACTGTTACCAGGTCTGGGAACTCTTTACTCCAGAGACTGCGAGATATAAAATAATCAGAACTGCCAGCCACTACCTCCCTAGTGGATTAACAGTGAGGGCGAGTTGGAGGGGTTAGAAATTCAAAACCCTGCAGAGTTTAGTTTGCTATCTGGAAACCGTAAGTCAAAAAGGCAGGTTATCTAGGCCCTGATACAACAATCTAATCTCTCTATTGAGTTCTTGGAGACTTCAAAAACAGTGACCACTTGTAAAGTTCGCTAATCAGGAGGAAAACAACCTGCTGATCTAAAGGCCAAAAAGAAAAGGGGAAATGGAGGAAGGGCCAGCAGAAGTAAGAGACCACATTAAGATGAAAACCTTTTGAGATGAGTAAGCAGGAAGTACTTAACAGAAACCCCTGAAAAGCCACAGCAGCAGAGGTATGGAACTGGGCTAACTATATATACCACAGTGCAAAGAGCTAACTTCTGTAAGTTTGGGTGGCAACTAGAAAAGGTTTGAATAGTCCGAATCTTTAAAAAAATAAAGACACCACTGACTTTGAAACCATGGAAACAAACAGGGGTTTGGGATAAAGAGAAATAAACCAGCAGAGAAAAAGATAAATACAGCACAGTATTAGAACTGGATCTATTCACTTTTCCTAATAAGAGGGAGTGATTCCAAGACAAGGAACCACCACTTGAGAAATTACTGTGACCTGACCTACTTAGGGATCAATTTTCAGGAGAGGATTCTAAACCCTGTCCGCATCAGTGCTGGGACGGCTAGGGGTCAGCCTGGGCTGTGTATACCTGCTTCCCTTCAGTGACACCCGCAAAGCACTGATTCACAAAGTTTTGATCTTGGTGGGAGACTACATAGGGAATAATCCCGTCACCTGGATTTCATTGGCACTGGGGAAGGTGTCTGGATGGGCTGCTGTGGTGCTAGAGGTAATTCTATTAGGGCTTTTTTGGCAATTAATAAACACCTGATTCAGGGGCTGGCACGGGCAGGTTTTGTCATTGTTAAACTGGGATCCTAGTGTTCTACCACTTTTGAGGTGTGTCACCTTCTGAAAGTTAAATCCTCTGCGTGCGGCTCAGTTTCCTTGTTCATAAAATGGGGACCTCAAAGACTGTTTGGAGGCTGAAGTGGGGAAGCTGGTGGGGACCCAGGCTTTGGTGTTAGCTGGGTTTGGATAGCTATGCAGAGCTTTGGTTGGTTTGTTTTTCTGCTTTCATCTTCAGTTCCCTCTATAAAATGGAAATAATACCACTTACTTCAAAGGCTACTGCCAAAATGAAAATTAAAAAATCCCATGCATGCCGGGACCGGTTTGGCTCAGTGGATAGAGTGTCGGCTTGGGGACTGAAGGGTCCCGGGTTCGATTCCGGTCAGGGGCATGTGCCTTGGTTGCGGGCACATCCCCAGTAGGGGGTGTGGAAGAGGCAGCTGATCGATGTTTCTAACTCCCTATCTCTCTCCCTTCCTCTCTGTACAAAATCAATAAAATATATTTTAAAAAATCCCATGCAAAATGCTTAGCACGGAGGCCGTATGTATTGGTTCCCTTTCCCTTCCTCTTGTTTTCTGGAGGATTTTTACTTATTGCATCAAGGAAATCAGTCCTTTCACACCTTTGATGCAGCAAGACAGCTTGCCTAAATGGGACAACTGATCATTGTCTCTTGGTGAAGTATCATTCCTATTGAAATTCTCAGGATTTTTCTTTTCAAATAGCTCCCATCAGCTTCAGCTTAAAATGTCCCATTTGCTCGGCATTTGAACTACTTACTGAGGACCCAAGGAAGCAGTCAAGTGGAAAAAGTTGGCGTGGGATAAAAGCAGGCACTCTATGGGGAGAATTTTGAAACTGCAACCAATTTTTGCACCTGATAGTGGACTTCCCCTGAAGGTCTGTAAAGCTGTGCACAAAACTAGAAAAACCCAGCTGCCCTGTGGCTGAACAACTGACACATTGTGCCACCAAGGGTAGGAGAAGGAAATTTAACTTTTTCCCCAACCCCCAGGACTGGAGATGTGTCAGGGCCTAGCCTTTCCATGAAGCTCACTCTCTGTACGAAAATGCCACGGGCTTCCCCCAAGCTGCAAGAAATGACATTTCTAGCCAAAGAATGAAAGTGACATTTAACTTCTCAATGTAACGCCAGGCCTGGCCGGTGTGGCTCGGTTGAGCGACGTCCCATGAATCAAAAGGTCACCAGTCTGTTTCCAGTCAGAGCACATATCCAGGTTGCAGGTTTGAGCCCACGCTGGGGGTTGGGGTGCATACAGGAGGCAACTGATCAACTGATAAATGTTCCTCTCTCCTTCCTCCCTTCCTCTCTCTTCCTAAAATCAACAACAACAAAAAAATGTATAGTATTTTAAATTAAGTAAATAAATAAAAATATATTTTCAGGCTCCAATTTGATCTCTAGTCTCCTATACTGTCTTGATAGAGGTTTGGTTCTGAACTATCAACTCTTTTGATAAGAAAACAAATGGCAATTATACCTTATTACAACTGGGAGAATATTAACCCATTCGTTACTTAAGAGATGCCAAATATTTTTAATCCCATTAGGTCCAAACTACAAATTCTGCTACTAGTGGCAACCTTTGGTGGATCCTGCAAAGTGAGAGGAAACAGAAAAAAAAATAAATAAATGCACTTGACTGAGGGCGCAAGGCGGATAGCCAGGGTTAGGAGAAGTTTTTCCAGCCAATACCTTACCGTCTGGTGCCCCTTTGGAAATGTTGCCAAGGACAAGCAGGCAAAACTCGTTCTGTTACTCACCATGTCTGTTTCCAGTTACAGTGTCATAAGTATGCAAATCACCTTTTCTTGAAACTGAGATCATGTGTCTGAACAGAACTACCCGCATAGCAGTGTTCAAAGAGAATTTGAAAAGTAACTGTCTAAAAAGTACATCATTTTAGGTCTCTGTATATAATTAGTGTTTCCCTTTAGATTTCTCTCAATTTCAAACTAATGACTGGCACAATTAAGTACCTGAGAAAGATCTACCGCTAAACCTCTAGACAGATACCACTGGTATATAACCCTGTAAGAACAGGAACCAGCTTTAAGCCCTTAAAATTTGTTTTCCAGAAACCAAAAGACAGAAGTCTTCTATTTTAGAAACAATTTAAATGTTTGATCACTATTATATTATTAAATGAAATTAAGACTATTCCTGGTCATTCCGTTTTAAAAAGCCTATGATTACATTAAAATGTAAAGCAAGGGATTCTCAAAAGTGGTACTTCCCTT